GACACTTGCCTTCTCCTGCTGCTGAGCATCTGTTTCTACTCTTGCCTGTTTCTCCATCGCTTTTTCTGTTCCTTGGGGCTGTGTAGTAGTCCCTCATTTTTATGCACATTGATCATTTTACTCTTTTCAGATAAAATGTTTAGGATGTACCCTCTGTGTCCTACTGTGTCTCTGACTGATACAGGGTTATTGTGGGATTACATAAAATTATATTTATAAAGTTGTTAAAGTACTGCCCAGCACAGAACAGGTAGTGTGGAAGTGGGAGCTGCTTTTATCCCAAGACTAGAAATTTTCATCAGTTTTGATCATTGTTGTATATCCAACCCCTAAAACGTCTGGCACAAAGTAGTTCGCAAATAAATACTTATTTGATAAACATATAAAAGGGGATGATGTGAGCGCTTCACACAGCCTGTTGCATGAAAAGCACCTGATGTGTGGCTGTTCTCCACCCTGTGCTGTGACTCACCCAATTGGCTCCTTTTTGGTCAAGGTCAGATTGCGGTTGGGTCTGGCCTGGTTGATGGGGATGGTGGAGCCCTGAAAGAAGCATGGGGGGGAGGTGTCAGTGGGAGATGCCGGTTCCTCACCCCTTCCCTCTGAGTAGCCAGCCTGCCCCTGGGGCGCCGTGAAGAGCAGGGTCTTATCTGCGTCTTGACGCCCCCACTACCCAGATGCGTATGAGATGCAAACCTCCCAGCTTATGTATAATGGGGACATCTGAGTTCAGATGTGGGTGGAGCACACAGGCCACCTCCCTCATTACCCATACTCCTCAGCCCTGTGGAGAAGACAGGAGGTTAGGAGCCCAGACCTCACAGAGGCACTGTGAGCCCTGCAGCCATGGGTCTCCCCAGGGAAAGGTTGATCCATCACTGCCTGTAGCAGGCAAACCTCCGATAATGGCCCCAAAGGTGAGGCCCAGATCCCTGGGACCTGGGACATAGCTAGCTACCCCTCTTGCTATGATGCGGTATGGCACTGTTGACCTTAGGATGGGGAGATAATGCAGGTGGGCCTAGCATAACCACAGGAACCTGCTCCCCTTCCCCTGCCCCCAAAGCAGAGTTTTCTCCAGGCAGTGGCAGAAGAGAATCAGAAGGATGGAATGGAGGGCCAGGACAGGGACCAGAGAGAGGTCTGCAGGAGCTGAGATCAGCCCTGGCCAGCAATCAGCAAAGACCAAGGCCCTCAATCCTGCCACTGCAGGGACTGAATTTACCAACACCTGAATGGGCCCAGAAGCAGGTTCTCCCCCAGAGCTTCTGAATAAGGCCCATCCTGGCCACACCTTGACATTGAGCCTGTAAGATTCTGGCATAGAGCCCAGTAGGGCCCACCTGGCCTTCCCACCTGCAGAACTGTGAGCTAATAAACGGTGCTGTCTTAGGCACTAAGTTGTGGTAGCCCACCTCCCTCATTGCCTGCTCTCCTCAGCCCTGTGGAGAGGAGAGCAGGTGGGGAGCCCATGATACACAATGGAGGCCCACAGCCATGTTACATAGCATTCAGAGTAACGCGCCGCCCTCAGAGCGCCCTGCTGGTCCTGGCCTGCCTGTGTGAGCTCTCATGCCTGGGCCCCACCTGGATCTTGTCGCACCAGCCAGCAAAGTAGCGGAAAGTCTGGATGGACATGCCCACATGAGTCTTCAGGGCCAGTGTGTAGACGGCTCCCGCGTCCAGAGCCTCAATGGTGGCCAGCTCCTCCTGGTGCTGCTCCATGAGGTCTGCCAACCTGGCCAAGGCGTGGGGGAAGGGGGGAGGTAGGCTCAGGCTTGGCACAGCCTGGCCAGCTTTTTTAAAACCCTTCTTCAAGGGGCTGGAGGCCCTGCCTTACACACTCAGATGTGCTGAGCTCAGTTTCCTTATCTGTGAGATGGAACAGTAACATGTACTTCACTGGATGAGTGTGAAGATGATGCCCGTCTCCCCGTCTCCATCCCTCTCTCCATTTATTCCTTCCTGAAATATTGATGAATGGACTACTTTATAGTAACACTCATACATGACTCTGCAGAGGAGGCTGCCTACCTCTGTAACAAGAATGTCACCATCCCAGAAGGCCACCTTCTCTGTCTTTGGACAGCTTCCACCAGGGGAGAAACCCTGCCTGGCTTTAATCCAGTGGAGGACGCTCCTGAGGCTGGCGTCTCCAGGGATGGAGAGGAAGGGATGACAGGGGAGATGCAAAGGAAGGAATGTCTACACAGCCCTCCTGGAGTCTGAACACTCTGATGTACTGTTGTCCTCCCGTGATTCTGGTGGGCGTGCTGCTGTGGGCAGCCTGGGGGTTAGAATGGCGCTCCCTCCCTGATGTGAAGTTCTCACACACCCAGGGGGGGCAGGGTGGACAGGGGAAGATAGAGACCAATCTAGAGCAGCCTTGATCTGCGCACGGGGAGGCTCAAGCCCAGAGACAAGCCTGCTGAGCTGTTCCTACTCTGCTTCTTTCTGCATGTAGCCACTGGCAATGCCGTCACACTCCCAGATCAGCTCCAGTCCTGTGCACACCTCCAGTTCCCCCAATGGCTGCCCACCACACTCAAGACATAGCCCCAACCCTGTACCTGACTGACCAGCCCAAGGCCCTGCCCATTTCCTCCCGGGGCCATAGCACCTACTGCTTTCCTCCTCTCTCCTCCCTACATCAGTCTCCTTCAAGTGTTCAGGTGAGTCAGGCCTCTTGTCTGGGACCTTTGGGAGCTGCACTGCATACCATAGGCCTGGACTGCACTTCCTGTATTACAGCTTCCCCTGTCAACCTTCTGCACCTCTTTCAGACCCTCTGGGAAACTGACCCTAACCCCACCCACCCCAAAGCAATGCCATCTCCCTGCAGTGCTCTAATAGCATCCTCGCCTTTTTTAAAACCTTCCCTGATTGTCAGTGATATTCACATAGATGAGTATTTCAGTACTATTTCCTCTCCCATGAGGGCAGGGACAGCATCTGGTCTCCTGCTTCCCACTGGGCACATGGGCAGCATGCTGTGAAAAGTTGGTGAATGAAACTGTGGACTGAACGAGCACAACAAATTAGCAGCAGGGCCACGCTGTTGCCTGAGAAACAGTATCTGGGTCACTCTCTGGGTAAGAAAAGCAAAGCGGTACATTTTTTGAGAAACATTATAGACCGAATATTGAAAATACCATGTTGTGGTATTTTAAAGGCTAGGGTTCCTTCAGCTACAAGGACAGATGAGCCAAAGATATAAATCTATACTACAAATTAGCCACCAAAGATACCATCTGTATATTGGCTCCTACATTGTGTCTTCACTGCAGGCTGAGACCCATTAGCTTGAAAGCCCACTGGTGCAAATTTTCACATATCCAGTTATTTTTAAAATAGCACAAACCAGCAAATTGTAGCCACTTACAGCCTGCCTACTTTGCATCCGTAGAACCTCACTGACAGCTGTTGCCACTGAGGAGACAGGCTGTGTAATTATAGTCCCCGCTTGCAGAGCCCTTTGACCCAGAGACTCCCACTGCAATGCTGAGTGACAGCACCTGTACATGGCAGCCCCTTCTCTGATCTCCCCTGTCTCTCGGAGTTCCCTTGCCCCCTCCCATTCTGAGTAGCAACCCCTCACCCCCAAAACAGCCTCTGGAGGGCCTCCCGCTTCAGGGACTTCCCCACTGGCAACTAAATGAAGCCTGTTGTGAGTTGCTGCCTCTCATGGTCCTTACTTTCTCCCTTGATCAGCCCCAAATCCCTCCACCCCCTGACACGCCTAGACAATGCCATGGGAGATGTGGCTGAGTCATAAATCTAGTACTCAGGATACTTACTAAAGGAACTGTCACCTGAGCACACTAGTTGGGAGGCTCCTTGAGGGGAGCTGTGTGGGGTTGTTCTAATATCAACCTGGTGACACTGCACCTCTGCCTCTGAGAGACCCATCCCTTGACCAACAGCAACCCAGGCCATCACCAGAGCTTTGGCGGTGGACCTGAACACAGGGTGGCAGCTTCCCACAGACACCTTCACTGGGCCTTCATGGTCCCACTCTGGCAGCTGGGTATGGCTGAATGCCCAGATTCCCAGGCAAGCTCTAGCTTGGTCCCCAGGGGTTCTGATGTGCTAGCTAGTGACTTTAGGGGTTCTAGCTGGTGACTTTCTCTAACTCTTCTTTCTGGATATGTCTTCCCAGCTTCTCCAAGTTGCATAGTGTCTTATTCCTGTAATGCATTCCATATTCCATAGTACCCATGGTGGTACTACTTCCCTCATAGGTAGAAATCCTGTCCTACCCCCTCCTGTGGCAGCAATGGGCACCCCTCCTTTGTGGACTGTGAGGCTGTCTGGGGCAGTGGCTGGGTCACTAGAAGCTCTCAGGCCTTGAGATGTCTGTCCACCCAGTCCGGGTCTCCACTTAGAGCTGTGCAGGGCACCACCTCCTCGTTATCTTTGTGGTTAGTGGGGTTATTACATGTGCCACCAGATGGTAGAAGAGCATCTCAAGGAAAGGACACTTTCTTCTGGGTCAGTGCATCTATCACAGGGGTCCCTGTTTCAGGGCCAGCAGCTCGCCACCACCAGCCTGGGCATACACTCTTCACAGCTCTGACTGATCTCCAGAGGCTCTAAGTCACTAGCCAATGGTCATTTCCTAAAACTGATAGGTTGTCCAAGGAGTCTTGAAACTAAAGATATGGCACACTGGGCGTGCCCCAGCTCCATAGCTCTCTGTCTCTATTATATTTTGCAAACCAAGCAAAGGCCCTTCTCTCTGCTCCCCTGCCACGGGGGCTGCCGTGGTGTTACTAACCTCTGGAATAGAAACTAAAGGCATTCTGACTGCATGACCAAGATGGGGCTCTCCTGCCAGATGGAAAGCATGCCTGCACTACTTCATCGCCAGGCTGTATGCCTGAGAGCTTCCTCAGAACCCAGAGTACCAAACCAGGTCCCTGAAATTGCTCACCAGGATTTAGGACACCGTTCAGTTCCTCTGCCCAGCACCTTCCCTTCTGCCGGAAACATCACCTCACTTCCTAGGGAGTAACTGCTCTGCCCCTACCGGGACCACCTGATTCTAGGGGAGCAGCCTGTCTTCCCAGCCTCATTCCCACCCTAAGGTCATAAGCTGGAGCAAGCCCAAGTCCTTTCCTAAGACTTCTGATTAGAGCTAAGGAGAGGGGCCCCTTCCTCCCTTACTTAAATTATTAAAAAAAAAAAAAAGGAAAGCATGAGGATGGGCCACATCCCTTGCTGGCTTCTGTGCACAGGAGCCCCATTCCGCCCTCTGGCCTAGGCTGGTCCAGGTAAGCACTGTGCCAGTCTGGGTATGTCAGGACCAGTTGTTAGCTTTGCCAGTTTGTGGCTCTCATCTGAAGCACTCCATCAGTTTCATACCTCCTCATCTTTGCGCACACTGTCGCTCCACCAGTGATACCTTTCCCCTCAGGCCACTTGTGTCTGGTAGAATCCCTCCTATCTCGTAAGTAACTTCCTCTGAGTAGCCTCAGGCTTCCATGACCTGTCCAGGACCCCAACTCTTCCGGACAGGACCTGAGCATCCAGCCCCACCCCAAGCTGAAGGTGGTGGCGGCTGACGGGTGGGTGTGGGCTCTCACCTGTACAGGAGCCGGCCCCGGTCCCGCGCGCTGATCTTTCCCCACAATCCGTTCTTAAATGCATCTTTAGCAGCAGCCACTGCTTTGTCGACATCGCTGACCTGGGCCAGGGACACCTGGCAGATGACCTGTGGTGAAGCAGAGCTGTGAAGCCCTCTCTGGGCTCAGAGGGCACAGACACATCATCTGCCTGCTCCTCTGGCCACCTGGGTGGCCTCAGAGAGGAAGGTTTTCCAATGGAAGGGCACTGGAAGGTCACAATTAGAGGAAGGTGAGGTCTAGGAAAGGTTTGTATGTGTTTCTATGTACCAGGGACCTTCTCTTCTTTTTCCCACTGAGCCTACACAGAGCAACAGATTTGGGTTGTACCTACAAGGCTGAGGGTCAGCTTAGCCTTTTCAAACCAAGAGCAGAGACCCATTAATTTAGTGAGTCCCAGGCAGAATGTTTATTTCTTAAGTGTGATAGGCTAGATATTGGAGATGATTAGACCCATCCCCTCTCTGCATTGCATGCTTTGAGGGTGTCCATATGCACTATAGCTCAGGCTTGGGTGCAGGTAGGAGAAAGGGGTAGAAGGGGTGAGGCCAGCTCTCCTTTGCTCTCCCACAGGTAACACCTGCTAGACAGCATTGTCCAAACAGCATCCCTCCCAAGACTCCCAAAACTGGCCTCAAGGTGGTAACAGCTCCTGATGTTCCTGCCTGAGGACACTGTACCCCCTTGTCTGTGTCCTCATACCTTGTCCATCCCTTTGTGAGACACTTTCTTTAAACTCCCCTCAAATGATCCATTTTGAGTGTGGTATCTGTTTTCTGATGTGATGTTGTAGAATGGGACAGGATAGAAAACAATCAGTATATACCTGTAAGAGTAAGTATGTTCCAGGTATGTACATGTGTGAGAATGCATGTGTGTATGGGTCATGATGCAACAGGGTCACAGTCAAGAAAGTCTGACAAACACAGGATTCAAGGGAAAATTTCCTGATATTGGGATGTACAAATATTTGAGAAGGTGGGGCCAACACTGGGATTATTGTTGAAGTGTGAAGGGGGAGGGAATGGTTTTCCTTGGGGGAGTTTAAACTCTACTCCCAGTCTATGAAGCAGGCTCAAGACCTTTAGAGGCTTTCTGCCTCCCCGCCAACCGCTGCCCACCATATCTCCCTCCATACCATTCCTGTAGGGAAGACTGGTGATTGACTGCAACCCTTTTGTGTTCAAACAGAAGCCCCCTGGGCCAGGACCCCCAGAGGCCAAGTAGGGAGAGGTGGGGCAGTAGATGGGAGAGCAGGTCATGGGTGGAGGAGTGGTGGGAGGC